CTTGAGATGAAGAGAAAAGAGAGAATGAGAGAGAGAGAGAGAGAGCGAGAGAGTAGGGAGAGAGATGAGGGAGAAAGAAAGAGAATGAAGAGAGAATGGGAGAGAGAGTAAGAGAGAGAGAAGGGAATATATATGAGAGAGACACCAAAGAGAGAGAATGGGAGAGAGAAGAGTGTGAGAGAAAGAGAGGGAGAGAGACAAAGGAGAGAGAGAGAGAGAGAGAGAGAATGAGTAGAAAAAGACTGAGGGGGACAATATATGGAGGCTACAGCTTCTTATAATGGGCTATTTATTGTAAACCTTAGACCTGCAACCCTTGGATAGCTTTTTGAGTCATTCTTTGAATATCTTCATTTGTTATTGGAGGTGAAGCAGCATTTGAAGCCGTATATGCCTGAGCATCTGGGAAAGGCGGGTTTTGCATTGCTGGAGGAGGTGGAGTTCGGACCTTCAAGGGCGGTTGAGGCTTGTATCTTCTTCATCAGATGGTGGTATAGGGGGAAGACCTGCCCCTGATTATGAGGATGCCACATGTGGTTGAGCATTCTCTATAGGGCAATGATCTCATGCAACAGTTGTATCATAGTATAACGCAACGACACTTCTAGAAACCCATGTTTGTGGTATTTGTATGAACCAAAATTTTGCACACACACTCTCTTCATCTCAATAATCAATTCCAAAAAAAAAATTGGATTTGAACCCTAGATAGGATCAAAATGAGTCCCCTTCAAAAATGAATCTAGACCATTCATTTGGTGAATTTCAAGATCTTAGCCTTTATAAACTCAAAATTATTATTTTTTAATTGTTAACATTGTTTATCTAATGATAATAAATCCATCCAAAAAAAATGGAAATGAAAAAATCCTTCTAAGGCCTAGATCTAAGTATCTCACAAAAATAAACGGCCTATGTTAATTGGGCTAAAAAAATACTTTCTAGGTTTTGTTTTCAAATTTTCCTTTTTTGGGATTGTTCATTCGAATGCAAAGAGTGTATATTTCAAATTTTAGATCAAACGAATAACCATAACATAGTTTTTTAATGTTGTTGTACAACATTACTATACAACAGTTGCATGAAATCATAGCCTATCATACTATGATACAACCGTTGCATGAGATCATTGCCCTCCTTTTTTTTATGTTCTAACAAGTTTCTCAAATTTTTAAAAATATTCAATTTTATAATTTAGTTATTTTTTTATGACTTTTGGCTTTTGAATATCCGAAAATTGTTTTGGCTCAAAATTTCTTTCTTTTTTTTTTTACAATTTCTTAATTTTAAAAGTCCAAAATTAGTAAAAAGAAAAAGAAATTTTGGGGCTACAAAGTTTTTCAGATATTCAAAATTCTGAAAATTGTAAGAAAAATAAAATTAATGCTACATAGATTTTGGATATTCAAAAATAAAAAAATTGTAAAAAATAAAAGTCATATTTTCTGGCCAAATGAATTTTTGGTTATTTAAAATCTGAAAATTGTGAAGAGATAATATATTTTTGGGCTAAAAAAATAATTGGATATTTAAAATTCAAAAATTATAAAATATAACATTCTTTTTTTTTTATTCTTAACATAGATTCTCATTAACTAGGAGCGAAAGCTCAAAAGTACAATAGAGTACTACAAAGGAAGTAATAAAAGAAGAAAGAGAAAAGGAAGAAAGAAAGAGAAAGAGGATAGGGAGAGAAGAGAAGGGGGAAGGGGAAGGCTATGGAGGAAGCCGGGGAGCGTCTGCATCGCAATTTTTCTCTCGGTTGACGTGGCAAAACAAGATCTTTTTGCTAATGAGGGCAAGCTAAATCTCATCCATTATTGAAGTCCATTGCTAAGGGGTCAAGTAAAGGTGGGTTCACCAATTAATCACATTGGCTAAGTCACCTTCAATGATAAGTTTAAGGTTGGTTGTGATGAAGTCTAAGAACACCTTCCTTAATAGCTCTAAGCTCGACTTCATTAATAACACAATAGTTTAAATGTCCATTGTAGGTTAGGATGACTTTACTGTGATCATTCCTGAGGATGCCACCAAAGCCTGGTTCAAGAACATCTGGTCTCACACTACCATCAAAATTTAGTTTGAGCCAACTAGCCAGGGGTGGAGACCAACGAGAGGACTTCAGGACCTTCTTGGGGTGCTGCAGCAAGTCTGAGAAATTCGAAGAAGAAAGCTCTTTGGGGTAGCACTTGAGGGTCAAAAAAACTGAGCCCATTGAACAAACCCCCGTAAAACTACTTGTTGGATGTGTTCCAAGTCATGGGACTTCCTGTCAAAGACTCTCGAGTTTCGCTCCTTTCAAAGGAGTCACAGAAAAGCTGCTACCAAAATACACCACAAATGGATACCAATCGAAAGGAACGAGGGATGAAGAATCAATGCAAAATGCTCTTGAATATAATCCACCTCCACTTGGAAATGGTAGCAGCCCAATTCCATAAGGAGACCCAAAGGGGCAATGGAGAAATAAGTGGCTACAATCCTCAGCATCCTCTTTGCAAAAAATATAAACATTGCAAAGAGTTTACCTCTCTTCCTTAATTGGTCCCATGTTAAACTCTTTCATGTTCTAAAAGCCACAAGAATGCTCTAATTCACTTCGGCTCTTTGACTGACCACACCTTAGTGTTTCTATTTCTGGTATCAAATATATTGTCATTGCTAACCTCTCTATAAAGAGATTTAATAGAGAAAGAACCACTAGGGGTAAGTGTCCAAATCAAAGCATCCCTGCTCCAAAGGAAATAAACAAAATTGTTAAAGAGCTACAGTGGGGAGAGAAATTGTTGTTTTGTGGTCGAGTTCATTTTTCTAACCCTTAGATCAATTTTCCATAAGCAATTAGGTCCCTGCCCTTCCACCAAATCAGAGATAGTTGATTACTTGGACACTGCAAGTTTGAACACTTCCAGGAAACTGTGCATAAGAGATTCATTTCCAGCCCATTTCGTCAACTAGAATTTTGTTCTACTCCCATCTCCCACTTTCATTCTTGCATACATCGGGAAGAGGGATCCTCACTGAGTTAATGCTTTCCATATCAACGAGCAGGATTGACCTTAAGGTAGCTTTTTAGGGATGAGGCCCGATTGGTCTACACCATACTTGGAGAAAATGACTCTACGCCACTCCAAGCGGGGCTCTTAACAAACTCTCCACCACCACTTAGTAAAGCATCGTTCAAATGCTTCAATCTGCGAATCTCCAGTCCCCCTTCACTTTTGGATGGCAAACTTTCGTCCACCTGACCAAGCAATACTTACGAGCTTTCGTAGAACCTCTCCATAGGAAGTTCCTCATCAAGATCTCTAACCTCTTAAGCGCCGATGCAGGTACTCGAAAAAGGGATAGGAACCGCGTTGTTAGCCAGCATAGAGTTAATAAGAGTTATTCATGCCCCCAAAGGAAAGAAACATGCATTTCCATCTGTCAAGCTTATATTCAAATCTTTATATAATGGGGTCCCAAGCAGACTTGGGCAGTCTACTATCAGTGAGTGAAACCCTGAGGTATGAAAATGGCAATTCTTCTACCCTACAGCCTAACCAAGAAGCCCAAACAATCATATCTTCTTATTCACAGTTGATTTCTAGACTTAGAGAGGTTAACCTTAGCCCCTAAAATCTGTTCGTAGCATTTGAGGAAGAGCCATATATTCTGAACTTGAGCAAGGGAGGTAGTGGTTAGAAGAACAGTATCGCTAGTGTTTTGCAAGTGGGACATGGGTTTATCATAGCCCTGGATCTTAAGGCCATCAATAAAGTTAGCTCTCATAGCCGATCTCATCATTAGGCTGAATGATTCTCCAACCCAAGTAAGTAGAAAAAGAGACAAGGGATCCCCTTGTCGCTCTGAAGTAACCACGATCCTTAACATTGATCGTAACGGAGAAATAGGAAGAGACCGAGAATCTTTCTATCCACCTCTTCCAATTCATTCTAAATCCCAGGAACCAAGAAATGTCATTTAGGAATTCCTACTCGACCTGATCATACGCCTTTTCAAAATCCAAGTTGCAGAGAAGTCGTTTGGTTGCCTGAATTCTAGTAGAATGAATAACTTCAATAAAAGTTGATTGTGGCCCCTCTGTAACTAGGGAGTTGACTTTCTTCAGTCTATTAGCTAGTACCTTCACGAGAATCTTATATACTGAAGTCAAGATGCTAATTGGTCAGACGTCTTGAAGAGTCTCCACCTATTGCTTCTTTGGAATGAGGGCTATGAAGGTCGAATTTAGGGCTTTATTAACCATAGCTTTTGGGTAAAAATCATCAAAGAAGGCTTTCAAATCCCCTTGAGCAATAAATCAAAACTCTTGAAAGAAGAAATATAACTACATTTCAAAAATATGTAGCTTCGGATTTTAAAGATCCAAAACAGAGGCCACTTAATCATTTAAAAAGGGAAAACTTCGTATAGACCCCTAATTCCTCATATTATTCCATGGTAAACCCTCCTTCCGTTTTTCTTTCAAGTAGCATAAGGAAACCATTAAAGATTTCACCGTAGCCCCTCATCTCTTATCTCCCTCTTTTATTGACTTTTGATTATAAAAATTAGCACCAACAAATCTTTTTATACCATTTCAGCTCAAAAACTTTTTAACCATCTTTTTCTCTTTCCACCCATTAAAAAAAAATTTGAGTTAAAATAGTATAAAAAAGATTTGTTATGGCTAATTTTTATAGTCAAAAGTTATTAAAAGAGAGAAATAAGAAATGAAGGGATATGGTGACATTCTTAAAGATTTCTTTATGCTGCTTGAAAGAAAATGCCTACCATGATATAACTACAAGAATTAAGAAATGTCTACCATGATATAACTGCAAGAATTAGGGGCCTATACGAAATTTTCCATTTTAAAAATTTGAGAAAAAAGGGTACAAATGTAAAAACCCAAAAATCAAGTGAATTATAGAGGATGTGCGTGTAATTTCTCTAAAGGTGCTTTGACCCAAGTTGATTTGGCGTCCACAAATTCCTTGATCAAGTTCAGGTTTGTTTCTGAACGACCTAAAAAGCGTTTTAGACTTTATGGGGTGTTTTCCCGATTGAAGGGATGAAAGGGCCCCTCGCAATCTGGAATAGTGGCGATTATCAAGCCATTCCTTTTAACACTCCTGAATGGCCGGGGAGAAAATCGAGCTCCTTGTTAAAAATCTTCAAAATAAATGTTCCATCCAAACGGACCTAAAACTGACTAATCTCTCTCTCCGCCACTGGGATGCTCTCTCTACGGAAACAAGCAATTGGGGGAAATCTCTCTCTCTAACGCGAAAAACGTCAGGTATGCAATAATCTAGGGTTTCTTACATTTGAGTATCTCTTCATTATTGTTCTATTCTTTCTTAGCATATGATTTTGCTTATATGTCCTATATCCTTTTCGGTGAAAGAATTCTTAATCTAGGGCTTAATTTTCTAATTTGTTCTTTCCATTGAGTCCTGGTTTTGTTTGATTCCCTCAATTGATTTTCAATTTATGCTTATTTAATTTGTAGGTTATGATTACGGATGCTTTGCATACAGTTTTTTTTTTTTTTCCCTATTTTTGTTGGGTTAAAGCTATGGTTCAAGCAACATCAAAGTAAAAATGCAGTATTCTGTGTATGCCTTTATTGTTTCATACATTTCATGTGCTCTATTATGGTCATTTGATAATTCCTTGGTGTGAATATATAGCCTAGAGTATCTGATTTTTGGGATTCTAGCCTTGGGTAAATCCACATTGCTATCTAAGTTTAATACAAAATAAGTTTATATGTATGGGATTGTGTGTTGTAAAGTAATTCTCAATTTACTCTTAACGAAAACATGAACTGGTTACTCTGTGTAATTGGAGAACCTCTCCATTTATTAAGGCAATATGGAGTGTTCATAGTTATTGCTGTGCTCTATTATGGTTATTTATATTTCCATTGTGAATATATATCCTCGCTTATCTGTTCATAGTCTTTGGGATTTGTGGATTCTAGCCTTGGGTCGATCCAAATTGTTGTTAATGGGATGATTTCACATGTAACGATTATGTCTTTTTAAAGTAATTTCTCATTCGCATATCATCAAACAAACTGGCTGTTTTTTATTAGAGATCCTTTTTGGGACAAATGTTGATTTTCATTCTGTTATGGTTACCTCCATGCTGTGAATCTAATGCCTGGATTTATTAGTTCGTGGTGTTCTGGTTTGGGGATTAAAGCCTTGGGGAAATACCACTTTCTATCTAGGTTCAATGAGATTGACTTCATGTGTATAATGTTTTAGGATTTCAAGTATCCTATTTGCATTTTGTGAAAGAAATAACTGGTTCTTATTTTTAGTATTCTCCTTATTGATTGATCAAATTTATCATAAGGCAAATGAGTAGCCACTTGCTATCTAGGTTCAATGAGATTGAGTTCATATGCATAATGTTTTAGGATTTCAAGTATCCTATTTACATTTTGTGGAAGAACAAACTAATTATTATTTTTAATTAGATATTCTCCTCCTTGATTGACCAAATTTATCATAAGGAAAATGTGTACTCATTTATGGTTATAGCATCTTTTTATTTATTGATCAAATTTACCATAGGACAAATGGAATTTACGCTAGGCAAATGCAGGGTTTGTGAATTATGGAAAGTGAAACAGCAGTGCCAAAAAGGATTGAGTGGAAGCCATATTGGGATGAGTTCTTTGTGCGCCTCTTGGTTGACCAAGTAACAAAAGGTAAAAAAGGAGAGAAAGGATTCAGTAAAGAATCTTGGCGTTATATGACCAATGAATTCAACAAGAGATTCAACCAAAACCTGAACAAAGACCAGTTAAAGCATCGTTATGGGTACTACAAGAGAGAGTACAAACTTGTGAAGATGATCCTTGATCAGAGTGGATTTAGTTGGGATGAGACTAGGAAGATTGTGGCTGCCGATGCTGATGCTTGGAATCAGTGCATCTCGGTAAGTTGGAAAATAAAAGAAAACCTGAATAATGCTTAACTGAATTAAAATCCAAGGTTTCAAAAACTAGTATAGATATCTATATCAGGGAGGGGTTAATACTGACATACAATGGTATCGACTCGTATAGTGGATGGGATATAGGGAAAATAGAAGTATGTGATGTACTTTATCTGCTGAATAGTTATTAGTGGGTTTATTGTCGTAAAAATAAAAAATCTAACACTTTTTTTTTGTGAAAATTAAAATGGTAACTTTTCCATTTGATATCTGAAACACGATATATCAGTGTTCACGCCATGATGTATCGACCAGTATATTTTTTTAAAAAATCAAATTATTTGAGCAGATCGAATCAAGGTTCAATTACTCAGCTTAGGCTTGGGACTCGGACTTGAACCCTGCCCGAGCATAGTAACTTGGTTGACTCCAAGTGGACACGCCCCGCCCAACAAGTGTACCAGCTCAAACGGGGCTAAAAAATGAAAAAATAAAAAATCAATGAAGTGTTAAAAAAAAAAAATCAAAAGCAAACAGAACTATAAACGATTAGAAGTCCAAAATGATGGAAAAAAATATATAAATGATGAAATAATTTGGAAAAAATTGATTTATAGCTGGAAACATCCAGAAAAATGCTAAAAGAGGGGAAAATACAAAAATATAGCATATGCATAGAAAATCTCACAAACATCATAAAATCAATGTATAAAATATTTATATTACCAAGCATGTACCTAAGAACTCGGCTCAGCAATGTGCCAAGTCCGAGTCAACCTGGTTGAGTTTTAAAACCTTTTATCGAACAAACCTTGATCAAGTACCTTCACCATCACCATATGATAACGAGATAGGCTGATTATGATATATCAGCAGAGGTATTTGGTTTGATAAAGGTTTTGAGCCTTGATTGCTTCTATGGACCTTACACAATATGATGATGGTTTTCTTTTTTTTGAAAGTGGTAACGTTCTACAAAAAAGCCAATATGTAGTATGATGATCGTTTCCTAGAACTTGATTGCTTCTGAGGAGCTTAAACATCATGTGGTGATGGTTTTTTGAACCTTCAAGGACCTTGAGCATTATATGATGATGGTTTTCTGAACCTTGATTGCTTCCAAGGACCTTACACATTAAATGCAGGAGCACCCTGAGGCTAAACCATATCAAAAAAAGAGCTTGCCTCTATACGAGCCATTGGGGGTAATTTTTGGCGATTCACCTGTAGATGGTGTGAGTATGCTGGCATTGGCGCTACCTTCTCCAACTACAGTTGCTGATTCCCCCGATGTTTTGCATGAGGAATCATTTGGTTCAAGAGATGAAGAGAATGCACCAATTCAAAGTAAAAAACGTCAATCTGTGACATCATTAACATTAGGCCACTCTAAAAGAGTGAGAAAGGGTGTTGGTGATGTTATAGCAGAAGCCTTGCAAAATATGGTGGCCTGTGCGAGGTATAGAGCAAGTATGAGTACGAGAAATGGAGCTAAGCCTGATATGATGAAAGACATAGCGAGTGCAGGAAATGAGAGCAGGCATGATATAATGAAAGACATCGTGGAAGAGCTAGAGGCAATGGAGGACTTGGATGATGACCTCTTTTTGGAAGCTTGTGAAAAGTTGAAGGATGAGAAAAATGCTTCTATATTTATGACACTCAAGGGTGAACGACGTATGAAGTGGGTTAAAAAAATATGCGGCGCACAGTAGCATAGCTTTTTTTTAAAATGGTGCTCACTCCTCATGGCCATTTGTGTGTGTGTGTGTAGGTTAGCTGAATTTAAACCCAGAGCTCCAAAGGTGGCGTAACAAGAACGTTGATGATCTTATATTATCTTGACAGTGGCCTTCTTTGAGCTTGTACAATACCTTGATGGGTGCCCTTCTAGAGCTTATGTTAGTTTCAACTTTTTTGTATGCATTATTTTACAACAATTGAAACAAGTTATCTTGATGATTTGTTTGAATTTGGGGCTTTGGTTATACTACTGTCGTGATTGATTGAATACCTTAAGCAGTGTTGTGGAGTTGTAGAGAGTGGCTTGTCTAATTCCCACACCCATCTGCATTGAGGGATTAGCTAAAACAACACGCAGATAACAAGAGCTTCCATGCAAAGAGAGATTCCAGTTGTTTTTTATTTATTTTTCTTTATTTTTTTTTAGGACTAAACATGCATTTCAGAGCAAAAGTAAAATTCTCCTTGTCAGGGGCTTGAGAAAATGGAAGAGTGAGGATTATGAAAAGGAAAATTGTTTCATGCGGGCTGGACCGCATTTCTGCATATGCGGTTCAGAAAGTGTAAAGCATCCATCTTAAAGATGGATGCAAGTAGGTGTTCCATCTAAAAACAACGGAAAATAACGGTCCAAATATTTTCTTATTAGAATTATTATTTATAGTTTTAAAAATTTATTTATTTTTTTATATTCATGATCTCCATGTTAGAGATTACATGTCCTTAAAAATTAAGTATTAAAACCCATCTCAAAAATAGATTTATTAAAAGGCCCACATTTTTACATATGCGGGCTTGGCCGCATCAAAATTGGGTCCTTTTGAAAAAGGTAATAATAGGTTTGAACGTGGCTTTTTTAAGGGATGAAATTTGGGTGTTAGACTGTGAAGTTGAAATAGTACTTGGTACTCAAAACCAGTGGTTTAAAAAATGGATCGGTGCCTTGGATCGATAAATCGACGGTTTGGATCGGGAATCGGCCGAATCGATTGGATTCGGCAATAAAAAAAATCCAAAAATAGTATTTAAAATCATGATAAATGTCGTTTTTTAGAATCCAAAAAAAAATGGGGGTATTATATTATTAATTTTCATTTCTTTTCATCAATATGTGAATGTTGAGATGTTTTTTCCTTGTATGAACTTATGTTAACCATTAAATTTACATGACACAAAAGAAGAATCATAGAATTATCATGGATGAAGTATTTTACAATATCATCTAATTTAAAATATATTATTGACAACTGTAAGAAAAAATAGTACATTACGTAATTTATAATGCAAATAAAAATAAAATACAAGATTTGGTTATTAATGTAGAAATTATTAGAATGCGTACCTATTTTCGAAATAACATTTTAATTTTTCAAAAATGTAATTTTTAGGTTTCTAGAATAAATTTAGTGGAAGTGATTGATAGTAGAGAGAGAGAGAGAGAGATTTCAAATGGCCTTGTATGAACCCTATCTTTAAATTAATATTCTTAAATTTATGTTAAAAACCATCATGTTATAAAAATAAAAAATATAATTAGACCATTCATTTTTAGGTAAAATAAAAGAATTGGATGAAGTGTCCCACATCCAAAAAGTAGATTATTGAATGAGATGAAATGTCCAACGGTCCAATGACATGCCCATGCTCCATCTTAATTAGACCATTGAATGGGATAAAATATCCAATTATTATGTAGAAAATATAATAGTAATGATCCTAAGAAACCCTCCCACACCCATGTGTGTAGGACCCCAAAGGATCGTCATTAAATTTGGTACAGATCTCTAAAAAGGTCAAGTCTCCCATGTGATAACTTTTCTAGAGATCAGTGTCAAATTAATGGTGATCTTTTGGGGTCCTACACACATGAGTGTGGGAGGGTCTCACAAGGTCATTTCCTAAAATATGATTAGACCATTGAATAGGATGAAATGGCTCACATCCAAAAAATAGAATAAGTTTGACATGAATAAAAGCCTCATCAATACCATCCTCAAATGTGTGTTTGAAAAGCATGATGGAGCATGGGGCACGTGACGCTTTAATGGATCATCTATCCATGATGGAGAGCATGTATGTGGTTGATAAGGGCACGTGGTTCTTGGGAGCCATGATGGAGCGTGCCTATGGTTGATAGGGGCACGTGGTTGCTAGTAGGGTTGCCTATGGTTGATAGGGGCACGTGGTTGTTAGTAGGGGGCCATGATCGAACGTGACTATGGTTGATAGGGGTATGTGGTGCTAAGGGATCATGGTTTGCCCCCATTTTTAACAAAAATACAGTCTTGATTTTTAAAAAAAAAAAAGAGTGATGAAGTCAATATTTAGTTTGATGATGTCATAATCAATAGACTCAACAGAGGGTGGCTACGTAATTGCCCCAATTTTAACAAAAACTTCCTCCCGACTTTAAAAACAAATGTGATGAAGTATGTCATGCTACCGATTTACTGTGCAGACACGGCCAGATCCCGTTTTATGGATGGATCCGAAACGGCCCAGTCTATACCCGATCCAAATCTCCCAGTTTTGGATCGAATCAAGAATTTTTTTAACACTGCCCAAAACACATCTCCCACGTATGTGGTAAGACCATGTGGAATATACAATTTGGGTGCGTTAATAGGAATTTAAGGACCTATAGATTAGTACATCAGATTTTCTTTTATCATTGAAGAATGGCTCGTCGTAGTCCACTCCGACTTGGCCCCTTATCGAACCGGGCTCCTTAGTACAACATAGGTTTTTTTTTTTTAACGAACATACGAACCTTTATTGATTAAAGAGGAAAATTACAGAGTTACAAAATAGAAGAAATAAAAACACCTTCAGCCTGTACACCTCCTTTTGCTAAAGAATCTAATTCGCCTCCCTATGGACATGGTTGAAAGATACCACCTAGCTTTGGCATAAATCCTTAACTTGTAGCCAAAATTTTTTTAAGTTCCAATGCGGCTTACTTAATCCAAAGCACCAATTTATAGTATTAAGAGAATCCCTTTTCACCATCCATCGATAGTGTGGACACCTCTCTTTCAATAGCTGTATGCCTTGCAAAAATGCCATCATCTTAACTTGATTGGTTGTGACTATCCCCCAAGGAGCACAGAAAAAAAATAACTCAAGACCCATATAGTCTCTCACAACCTTACCAAATCTTACCGATCTTGAATTCTCAAAAGAACTAACATCAAAATTAAGCTTAACCAGCTCAATGCATCCAACACCAGGAGGAGACCAAACTCTACACATAAGAGGCCAATGAACCTGACTATGCATCAAGTTACGAAGGTTAAGGTGAACGTCAATCCTGACACCCCCCAAGCCTTCTTTAGTGTTGGATAGCCAAAGCTAGACATTATTGACCACCCTCTGTTGTATACGGGCTACTTTTAAATATCGCTTTTTAAAAGTACGTCTATTCCTCTCTAGCCACACCTCCCACATAATCGAAGCCTTGGAAATCTCCCTAATTATGGTCCCTAACTTGCGAATTGAAAGAATGGAGAGACGTGACGTATGCTTTCCAGGGAGTGGTAAAGGGCAACCAATGGACAGTAAAGCCCACCTCCAAATAACCTCAATAAAGCTACAATGGGCGAACAGATGGGTATATTAAAAGAACAAAGGAGAATCACAAAACATATATATACTTGTAAGATCGATGTATGGAAATTATATGTGCAATTTGAATGCGTTGTACATTGATTTGTGAGTATTCATCGTCTAATGCTATATTTTTGTATTTTCTTTTTCTTGGATTTTTTGAAATGTCACAAACTATAAATCAATTTTTTAAATTCACTTTTTAATAATTTTTTTGGCTAATTTAGATTCACTGTGTTAATTTTTAGTTTTATTTTACTTTTAAAAATTTTATTTTATTTGTAACATTTTTAAAAAATTTCGGGCTTTTTCAGCCATGTATGTTACTTGGTTGAGGCTAAGTTATTCAGTTGGGGCCAAGTCCATAGTCCAATTCATATGGGTAATTTGATCATTTTATTATTTAAATTTTTAATATTTTATTTTGTGTGTCACTGAGGCACACAAACCCACAAACTTTGAAGCTAATGTGATTTATGAAAACATTAAAATTTAGATACTATTAAATAATCATGACCATCTTATGGACTTTGGATGTGCTGAGCCGTAAGTACAAATATTGTAGAAGGTCACTCATTGGTATTCTTTAAGTGTTTTATATAGTTTGAATTTTAATAAGGTTTAATAAACCAAATTAAACTGAAATTAGGGTATTTCAGATATTTTATTTTTAATAACAATTTTTATAAGGTTTAAAGCTTAAAAAATAGTGTAGATCACTGATTTATGAAAACCTTGAAAATCAACAGTTCCAAAATGCTCCACAAATACAATATTTTCAAAATTTGAAATTCATTTTTTTCTCATATCAATGCATCATGATGTCGAGATGATCAATTTGAGGATATTTGAGCATCAAAACAACCTCATCGACATTTTTGTGGTAGGCTTTAACTTGATTGTTTAGAGCATTGGCTCTATATAAAATTTTCCCTATATATATATATATATATATATATATATTAATAAAGGAAAACTCTTCCCAACGCCTATAGGCGAAAATGAACAGTGATTTCGCCTACCTTCATCACCGTCCAAACTTCATCGTACGGTCATGATTGTCTTGTAATGCTTTATTTTTCTTTTTTTTTTCTACAAATCTGCATGAACTGAAATTTGGAGTGTATCTACATCTTAGTGAGGTGCACCTAATAAAAATATAAAAAAAATAATTCGTAAAAAACATATTAACCAAAATACCCCCCGAAAGTTTTAGGGGGTATTTTGATCATTTTTCATGTAAAATATTTTTTTTATATTTTTCGTAGATTTGCCTATTTTTTATAAATACACGCTCCAAATTTCAGCTTATTATGATTTGTAAAAACAATATGAAAAATAAAACAATACCAGACAATGACTATGCGATGAACTTTGGATGGTGATGAGGATAAGCGAAATCACTGTTCATTTTTGCCTACAAGCGTTTTGTAGTATCTTACACACACACACACACACATATAGGGCAAGCTTTCTATGTTTTCCCTACAGCATAGAAGTTCTATCCTCCCCTTTATCAATTCTGAATGGAGGGCTAAGATTGCCCTAATCACAATGTCACGTCTGTACACTATTTTATTTTTAAATTTTTTTTCTATAAACTATTTTGACATCAAATTTTGGACATCCATTCCTCTATTAACTCACACTAGTGAAAAATATAAAA